CTAGAAAATCAAATGGAAAAGCAATGTGCAGACATGGCTCCATGTCACAAAGATCCATGACATAAAGTCATTCTGAATCACATCTTATCATCTTTTGACAATATGACAACTTGTCTGCAACAGTCGCAAGTTATCAAGATATCACGGTATATAAAAAAAAGTATGGAAGCATAGGGTGTCATCTAATAATAATAATCCTTGCATTTGATATAGCGCTTTTCACGTCTTCTAGACATCTCAAAGTGCTTCACAGAATAGACTGTAAAGTGAATTGACTGTATATTTGTGGGCAAAATGCGTACAGCAGCATCCCACAGTCGTGGTTTCAAGTGACCAATTTATAATTGTTTTTTTTCTTGAGGGATTATTATCAGGCATGTGGAGTAAGGAAACTTGCCCAAGGTTTCACCCAGCTGGGAATCGTCTAGCCGTGTACCCGGAGTTCAGCATTACAAATAGAGTATTCATTCTGTTAATAGGATCAGATTATATTCTATGGATATCAAGTCGTAACTCAGAATGTAGACCTGAAATTTCAGTAAGTAACACAAAGAATAACTCACAGATGAAAAATACAATTCGTCAATCAGATGAACAAAGGTGGATGAATCCATGTTATACATCAAACATTAATTGTGCTATCAGCCAGTAAGTAGACATGAGGTAAGCAGCTTTTAATCTGAGCAATCTTCCCTTTTTAATAATATTTATAAAGTCAGTCTATCGTATCAAGTGGAATGAAGAGCATTTTTGGCTGCACTTCATGAAGTATTCATGAACAGCCTTCATAGGAATCCAAACAATGTATTTAAGTGACTATTTCCTAAATAGGTTAACCTTGTGTTATTTTTTCACCCAATCAATATTTAGAGTTTTTAGTTAATGCTGAGTTCCGCTTGGAAAACAGTTCTTTTTGATTGTGTTGAGGTGTCAAACAGCACTTTGGCCCTTCTTCAAGTCCCAGTGCAGGTTAAGTGTATGGTGCATAAACCAAAAATATTCTCCTTTGTGGGCCAGACCTTCAAGGCATCCTGCAGCCCAAGTGAGAGACCCAGGACCATGTTGCATTAAAAGTGAAAATAGCTGTAGGTAGGTTAGATCCTGTGACGTGTATTCTATATCCTATAATTGAATCGTCTCTGCACCTTTGAGACAGAGGAAATCTCATGCTGGGCTGGTTTCTGCCAAAGCGCCTCATGGAAGAAGCAGTTGATCGCCAGCAAGCCTAGTACTGTACTCAACATTGAGCTTGAACCTCCTGAACTTCAAGGTGTGTGGTATGCTGTAAGTTGCCCTTGAAAGATCTTTCCCTGAAGCTTCAGACAGATCATCGAAAGTAGACAAGACAATTCTGAATCTCGTGACGACTGTTACTGGAGAGGTTACCTGATTTATATGCTCTTATACGCACAACTTGTTGGCTACCCAACTGGTAACACATTACTAGGCCACAACTGCTGCAACTTTGCATCTCCAAGTGGTAGAGATATTGTTAATGTGATGGTTTGTACCCTGGCTGGGTCCAGAGGACACAGCAATGCTCTGACACACTTTCTACGGAGTTGTGTGACTTGCCCTACTGGAGAGGAGTTCCTGATACCAACTTTGCATCAGCCAGAGGTCTTGCCCATGTTAGTCATCGGTCTGATGATCAACTTGTAACAGTTGCTCACAATTGTTTGTGTTCTTGTATTCTGACAATTGTTAGGATATATTAAAGTAAACCTTCTTATTTGCAGGATTACATTTGACATTTGGGATTCTTCCCCATGTCAACAGTCGAACGCAATGCACATTCCCATCTTCATAAAATCGTTTCCACTTAGATTTTTATGTAGCTGCATCAGAATATTGGTTGCCACGTGTCGCCCACAAATATACAGTCAATTCACTTTGCAGTATATTTTGTGAAGCACTCTGAGATGTCTCGAAGATGTGAAAAGCCCTATATCAAATGTAAGGATTATTATTATTTAACATTACAAGAGATATACTTCTTTAAAAAAAACAAATTGTAAATATCTTTCACAGTTGAACCATGGATTACTTTTAATTTGCTTTGTTCTGCAAATTAATTTTTAAGATCTACCTACAGATCCTGAGTTTTAGCATGGGCGATCCACAACATTTGTGCTTTTATCACCTGATAAATACATCTGACTTCGGTAGTCAAAAAGTAAATTAGTCATTTTAAGATGAAAATACTCCACAGCATTACTGAGATTTTTATGAACAGCCACATTATTTCACTATCTTTAGCTCCTCTCTTCTTCCCATTATTTTTTATTGCAACTTATAAATTTACTGTGGTTGCAAGAGATAAAAGTCTGTTACAGAATTGGGTTGTATGCTGCCGAGTTTGAAATTGGCTGACTTTACAAGTTCATCTGATCCACAGGGATTTCAGCCCAAGTATTTCCATCAACCCTTATGCTCTGATTGTAGACTGGCTATCCTCAGCACCATGAAGGCTGGAGAAAGAATTTGGCCACACATTCTCAAGATCTGTCCCATATAAGTAACTGCACACAAGAAATCCTTATTTGTTGACTTAGATTATAAGAAATCATGACTGCATCTAACACTAGTATTCTTTAACAAAGCAAAACAATGTTTTTAAGAAATCATTAATATTTTGAACACAGAGGTCTTATATCTGCACTAAAACTTTCTTCCTCATCAATAACACTCGATTACCTTACAGTGTTACAGCTGCTATCAATGCATTTCATTTCACAACAAATCAGGTGCTGGTTTCCGTTCCTCTTCCATATTACTCTAAATGTGGAGAGCGCAGACCTCCAGAGGCATTGCACAGATCTGTGGTGCCAGTGATTTACCATTCTGAATGAAAGCTGCACAATGTCAGACATTAAATGCTGCAGTAGAAGCTGCTTAACCCAAACAATTTTTTTAAAAATCCACTAAATACATATTATGTATTCCTCTCCATGTTACAATATATCCTGTGAAGTGCTTTAAGACATCCTCCTGACGTGAAAGGCACTCTACCAAATAAGTATTATTAATTTTTAAATTATTAATAATACGTCAACCTGAATGATGGGATGAATGTAAATCAGACACAAGCAGGATTATGCTGACAAATACATAAATTATCAACCAGTGTCATACTTTGTTTTTTTAATGAAGTGAAAATAAAAATATGCCATTTGCATATTTTTGCATCGTCAAACAAAAACGAGGCAAACTACTTAAGCATTTCACTTTACCAATACCTGAATCATATATCACAAGATTGGTTTAGATGAAGAAGGCACTTCAGCCCACCTTATCTCATCATTCCAGAACACACACACACACACACCATCAAGCTGTTTTTAAATGAATTGCCTCAATCAACCTTCCTAGAAACCTGTTCCAGTCATTGATTACCTTCTTGAGTGAAGAACTCTCATCTTAACTTGGCCACAGATCAGCTATATTTTTTTGTTCAACAAGTTTTGGTGCACTTTCTAGTGCAAGTTTTGGTGGTGCTGTTCACAGCAATAAAGGCTGGATAATTGTGCAAAACCTTATGTTTTGTACTACGACAACAACAAGATTACATTTGTATAGCGCCTTTCACGTCGGGAGGACGTCCCAAGGCGCTGTAGTACAATGTTCCACATGAATTATATATTCCATTCAATAAACAATGCAAACCATGTTGGGCCATTTCAGGGTAATTCCTAAGCACTAACTTGAATCATATTAGATCAAATTATATAAAACATTACAGCATGGAAATATACTATTCTGCCCAAATAGTCTTTGTCAGTGTTTATACTCCATATAGTTTTCCACCCTTCCACATTCTCACCAACCTCTATGTTAAGAAGTTCCTCCTGAACTCCCCTTTATGCTCTCATTTTGGACTCACCAACAAGTGGAAATAGCCTACTAACATCTACCTTATCAAATCCTTTCATAATTTTAAACACATTTATTAGGCTTCCTTTCAAATCACCAGAGAGAAAGCTCTAACCTGTCCAGTCTTTCTTAGCTGCATCACTCATCCCTGGTAACATGCTCGAAAGTCTGTGCTGCATTCTCAGTCTGCATCTAATTATAAATGTCTCGAAAAGATACATATGAGACAAAGCACAAATGTCCCTTCTCCAGCGAGTCTGCCATAACTTTCTCACAAGTGCCTGGTTTTGTGCCTCAAGTCGCAGCCAACAGTCGTACAGATCACAGAGTATTTAATGATAGAAACAATACCACAAACATTCTCTGTGGCATTCCAGACATTTTCTTTTGAATTGGGATCCATAAGTGATTCTCAAACTATTTAAGATATTGTTCATTATTTTCTTATGCACTAGACTGGTTAATCAGACGAACAAAGTGAGGCCAACACAGAAACACAACAATCTATTCTGGCACCAGATTCATTGGAATGAGATTCTCTGATCTTAACAAAGATACAAGTATTTGCTTTAATTGATGAAGATATATGCCACCCCTCCTGCTTCCCACACATACACACATATATGTTCTCAACAGCCAACAACTGAAGCTAAAGTGTAATTCATGCCCACTAAGTTTAGATTTAATGTTTTTTTTAAGAATAAGATTGAAATTCTTCTTAGTGAAGGCAAAGACATCAGCGCTTTGTACGTGAAAGGCGCTCTATAAATGTAATTTTGTTGTTGGTGGTGGTGTTGCTTAGGACATTGCAATAGAACACTTATTTAGTTTTAAAAATAAATAGCTTTAAAATAAATTCAAATGAGCAAGAAGATGGATTAAAAGTGGAATATCAAAAATCCAAACAAAGCAGAAGTTATCTGTATCAGTCATGTTTAATGTCCCCCCTTGAGCTTTGCAAGGTTATGGCATTTTGCAAGGTTGTGCCAGACTACCGCTGTTCTGGTGGAATAAATTGGTCAGGAACTTAACATAATGATTCTCCTTATCTACAGCTCCTACCACCCCCCCACCCCCCCAACACCCCATATCTTGAAGAAGCAGCCAGCTAATAGGTTTTGGAGTACTTGCCCCTTCTGCCTGATCTTCAGTGTTCGCCAACATTTCCTGAAGAGCCCGAACGGAGAGGGATTGCTCGAGCACAAAGGTGCAGATGGAGAGATCCGGAGGGACATTCTGTGGTGAAAGAAACAAAAGATAACATAAGCCATTCCTTATCACTGAATGTAAGACTAAATCATTATCCCTGGATTCAACACAGTGTTACAGTAGTAAACAACCCTTTTGCACTCATCAGCAATTTTGGAGTACAAGGCAGGTGTACAAACAGTAACACACTCCCACCACCACTGACCTCCCCCCACCCACACCACTCTCTTCAGCAAAGACAGCATTTCAAAGTAGTACAAAGGAGAGGCTTCCATTTTCATTCTTATCCCTGCTGTGATAAGGAAACAAATATCAGCATGTGTAATAAATAGAGAGCAATAACCCCAACTGTTTGTTATGACAAGCACGTCACCTTGAAGCTGAACTGGCTCCAAAGTGACATGTTTGGTAACAGAATGTTGGAATTGAGCCAACCCTCTGTGGTGGTCTCAGTCGTCTGGTTCCTGAGCCAGGCAGGTCCTCAGTATTATAGGGCACTGCTCATGACAGCACAGCCAACCTGACTCATCGGCAGGATCTGGAAGAACAGACCAGTCACTGAGGGCAGGGAGTCATCCCACTCAGCTCCTGTTAACCCTGCAAGCCAAGGTCTGAACTGGTAGGGTGGTCCTAGCCGGACAATTACTGGGAAAGCTTGCCAGACAGTGATATCAACAACAACAACAACTTGGATTTATATAGCGCCCTCCACGCCGGATGGCGTCTCAGAGCGCTTAATGTTTGCTGTACCTTTACAGCAGCGAATATCGCTCATGCTTGATTCGTGGTGAACAAAGAAAGGTAATTTAATGAGGACGTTTTAGGAAATGTCCAAAGCACACACACCCAAAGGCTGTAAATTCACCACTATCTACATAATCTGCTCCTAGGATTACAATTGCAGATCTACACACACAATAGCTTTTGAAGGCAGTTTCAATAAATGTGCTGCAACGTGAGTTGCGAGATAAAAGACAATTGCTTCACTTCCCTCTTGCCTTCAAAGAGACAGCTGGGTAACCCTGTGTGACAACTCTAGTCAATTTTAAAAATAACTGTTCGGTCATTTACTGGCTCATTGACTGAGTCCTGTGGCCAGCTTTTCCACTTCAGTTAGCAGCATCAGAGCACATGGAAGCTATTGTAGAAGACCATCCTCTTGGATTCACAGAAGATCCTGTTTCTTGCATTTGAGAAAACAAATGTAGCTGATCTATTCTACAAATATCTACTTCTGGCAAATATTTTCTTCTTAAATAATAATTGAGCACTCATTGACTTTCAATCACAATTTCCCCATTCTGATTGCTAAATGGCAGGGTATAGGGCAAATCACAAATAGCACCAGAAGAACATCCCTGGCATTATTAGAAACTTTGCATGGTGCTGCTTAAGACACGGTCTCATTTTTGACTCTTGGATAGAGTTCCAACACAAGATCTTTTCTTCTCTCCCTCTAAAAAAAAACAGACCACACAGTCGGAGTACACAGAGAACTTGTACCTAAATTAGTATTAGATAAGCACTGAAGAACAATAACACCATTCTCTAGCTTCCTCTGCTTTCCTTTTTCTGTTATTGCCAGGCACCTTACTCTAGATACTTAGTGAAGTCTCTCATGTGGCACTTTGTCAAAAGTCAAATGTAAATCTAGATACACTGTTTGCCTACAAAATACACACTTCATGGTATATCTTGTGATGCGCTCTGAGACTTCCAAAGTGCTAGGATTGTTATTAGGATTATGATATGCTTTCTGTCAAACTGGGATGTTACCTCCTCAAATAAAGTCTTTGATGTTTACTCAAACAAAATTCGATTCGGAGGGCGGAGCTATGAGAGCGCGGAGAGGAGCCGAGGAGGCTAATGTTAGTGAGGAACTTACAGAAATGAACATCAGTAAAGCAATAGTACTAGAGAAATTGATAGGATTAAAAAACGATAAATCCCCTGGATCTGATGGCCAGTATTCTAGGGTTTTAAAAGAAGTGGCTGCAGAGATAGTGGATGCTTTGTTTTTGATCTTCCAACATTACCTGGATTCTGGAATGGTTCCCAGTGATTGGAAGGTCGCAAAAGTAACGCTGATATTTAAGGAGAGTGGGAGACAAAAAATGGGGAATTATAGACCAGTTAGCCTGACATCGGTGGTGGGGAAAATTCTAGATTCCTTCATTAGGGACTTCGTCGTGGGGTACTTAGAAAATCGTAACGTGATTAGGCAGAGTCAACATGGCTTTACGAAAGGGAAATCATGTTTAACAAATTTTATAGAGCTTTTTTGAGGATGTAACTAGTAGGTTAGATAGGGGGAATCCAGTAGATGTGGTGTATTTGGATTTCCAGAAGGCATTCAACAAAGTGCCACATAAAAGGCTGTTGCATAAGATTAGAGCCCATGGAATTAAAGGCAATATATTAGCGTGGATTGGAGAGTGGCTGATAGGAAGAAAACAGTAGGCATAAATGGGTCCTTCTCAGATTGGCAGAATATGACTAGCGGAGTTCCACAAAGATCAGTGATTGAGCCTCAATTATTTAGAGTCTATATCAATGATTTAGATGAGGAAATAGAACTTAATATATCTAAATTCGCGGCCGATAAGAAGATAGGTGGGAGAGTAAGCTGTGAGGATGACAAACGAAGAATGCAAAGGGAAATAGACAGGCTAGGTGAGTGGGCAAGAAGATGGCAGATGGAGTATAACGTAGGGAAGTGTGAAGTTATTCACCTAGGTAGTAAAAATGGAAAAGCGGATTATTTTCTAGAGGCGGAGAGACTAGGTAGTGCTGGTGTTCAGAGGGATTTGGGTATCCTTGCACACCAGTCACAAAAAGTTAGTATGCAGGTACAGCAAGCAACTTGGAAGGCATGTTGGCGTTTGTTGCAAAAGGGTGAGAGTACAAGAGAAGGGAAGTCTTGCTGCAGTTGTACAAGAACTTGATGAGAATGCATCTAGAATATTGTGTGCAGTTTTGGTATCCTTATTTAAGAAAGGACATACTCGCCTTAGAAGGGGTGCAGCGTAGATTCACTAGGTTGGTTCCTGGAATGAGGGGGTTGACCTATGAGGATAGATTGAGTAAACTAGGCCTATATTCTCTAGAATATAGTTGAGGAAACATTTCTTCACTCAGAGGGTAGTGAATTTATGGAATTCTCTACACAGAAGGCTGTGGATGCTCAGTCCTTGAACATATTCAAGACTGAGGTTGATAGATTTCTAAAGAATAGAAGGAATATGGGGATAGGGCAGGTAAATGAAATTAGGTCAGAAGATCAACCATGATCTTATCGAATGGCGGGGCAGGCTCGAGGGGCCGAATGGCCTACTCCTGCGTCTTATGGTCTTATGGTCTTAAAATCTATTCATTCTGAACAGGTGTTGGCTGCCATTAATTTGTCAATTTGCACGCAGATAATCTTCCTTTGATTGATTCAATTTGTTTTCCAATTATCAGTTGGAAATGAATGGGTTTGTACTTTCCAGGTGTGGCCCAGTCACCTTTCTTGCACCAAAACAGCATGTGCTCATTCGTTCATAATGTCTGTCAATGCTTCTCAAATCTCCTCCCTCACCTCTCTAAGTACTCTGAGGTAAAGTGCATCTTTATAGGGGAATTACTGGGTTTTAGCCCCTTGGGACGATGCAGAACCTCATTCTTACAACTGTCAAAGTCACAGAACTTACTTGTTATGTGTTGGATGTTGTTAGTGTTTTCCCTGCTTTAAAAAAATTGACGGGTTTACTTTCTCATTTTCCCTCTTTTTCAATTTCCTTTGCCCCTCCATGGTTTACCTTCTTCCCCGACAACCCTTGCCTTCAAAACACAGTCACTATACCTCAAAGTAAATCCTCTGAAGTACTTTGAATATGTCCTCCATGCATGAAGGATGCTATATCAAATGCAAGGATTATTATTATTATTGTTGTAGATTGTATACAAATTGAAAGAGCTCTAAAAATCTATCCAGTGATGAGGTGGCACCACTGCATCATTGATCATGGCCCCTGCTATTTATCAAGTTTTTTTTTGCAAACTAAAATTATAAAAAAATCTCCCTCCACAAACCTTTAAGCTGCAGCACAGTGATGTGAAAAGTCTTCACTGGCCAAAATGGCAGCTTAGCGAGTGAAATTTTGGAGCAGGCTGCCCAACAATTCTCAATGCACTCGCATCGCCCCACCTTGTCCTGCACCCCTTCCCAAGTTGATCAAGTGGACACCATTTCAAAAATTCCTTAAACTCTCACTATTTCGCTGGCTGCTAAGAAGTCCTTGATGTGGGTCCGCCCGCATCAAGGACATGCGGGAGTCATGGCTCTGCACTGCTGGCAAATATTCACAAGGATTCAAACACATCAAATCCCTGCTCTATATTTCCGTCCTCATGTCACTCGAATGACAACGAGTTCCATCGAGGAAATGAAAAGCTTTGAGAAGAAAAATATCCAATCGATCTCTCTCTCCGCATTTCAAAATATATGGATGATCAATTCCAATGGCAGTGTCTATTTCTCATTGTATGACTGGAGCAGGTTTAGCAACAGGTCTCTCCCTCTTCTCTCGTTGTCCCAGGAGATTTTGAGACAAAACTGGAATTGAACCTACAGCTCACTCCTGCTCTCCTTTTCTCAGTAAAATTCCTTCTCTCTCTCCCCTGACATATCACACGTTCAACGGAATCCATCACCTGGTGTGGGACTCAGGATAAGGTTTGACCTTGAAGGATATGACCATTTCGGGATTGGCTGTTTTGAGGGTAGGGTTTCTGTGATCTTTGCCCTCAACCTCGCTAGCCTTTAACCACACGTTCAACACCCTCTCCTGACCCCTCTTCCTCTCTCTCATTCACTCGCTCTCTCGTTCACTCGCTCTCTCAGTCAAATTACGAATTTTAAAATGATTAATAAGAGTTAAAAGAAGATTAATATGACTTATACAAAGCAACTCAGCCTCTCTCTCTCTGTCTTTCTTTTGTTCACTCTCACATACACAATATGGCTTCGGAGATTAAGCGATATGGGGAGAAAGTGGAAAATTGGAATTGAAAGGCTTAGTTGAGGTACAGATCAGCCATGATCTAATTAAATGGTGGAACAGGCTCAAAGGGCTGAATGGCCTACTCCTGTTCTATGTTCCTATCTCAACATCTTACTGCCGTGAAATTGCATGCTGCATGACAAGAAAGATGTCACTGGAAAAAATGTTTCTGCACCTTAAAACAAATGTTGAGTTAAAAGAACAAGCCACAGCACAGTACTCAACCTGCCTTGTCTTGTCATTGGGATCTTCTCATACAGGATTAGTGCTGTTCATTTGGCATTCCCGAAACCAGGTGTTCTTCTGGTAGAACGAGGGGACGGTGAGGGCCAGCCTCAGACTCGTGCCTAGGATCAGACACTATATACTGAGGGACAAGCTGAAGTTTGTCTCAACCACTGCTAATGCCTAACCCCAGCAGGAGCCGCTCCGACACAACCCACTCAGGGCGCACCCATCGGGTAACCCACCAGCACGCCCCAAACTGACTGAAGTAAGGGTACAGAAGGATGTTCGAGATATAACCAAAGAGCGTCCTGAAAATATATATAAGGTAAGCATGTGCGGGTACGGTGCACATCGGGGCACCTTCCGAAAGCGATAATTGCACCTTATCAGGGTGTGTGCGGTTGCGCACATGGATGTGGTGTATACAGGGGCAACTCCCGACTGTGTTAAAGGGAGCATCTCAAAAAACGTGTACACAACCTGTGTGCAAGGAAGGAATGTACCGTAAACAATGGAATGTTTTTTGTATCGGGAGCAAAGGTGAAAAAAGACAAAACGGATGTGTTTTGTTTTGGATTTCTGTTGTACTAAATATTATATTGATACGTAAATATATATTTTCAAAAAAAAGTATTAGTGCTGTTCAAACTCATTTGCACAAAACAGCTTTTATAATGTCCAAGAGCTGACACTCTCTGCCACTTAACGTTCAAATACAAAATGCACATGGGGTTTGAGCAAAAAAATGCTCGAGGGACACACCAACACTTGAAGCTGGTTTCTTCAACTTAATTTCAAACCTTGATAATCATAGACCTGCAACCAATTCTAGTGGTTGCAGGTCTACCAACTCTCTACCCCTTCCTCGCTCGCTCCCTTCCCTCCCCTCACCCTGACCATTTCCCCCTTGCTCGGGTCCTGACCCAACTGTACAGCGCCTTGGGACGTCCTCCCGACGTGAAAGGCGCTCAATAAATGGAATCTTGTTGTTGTTGTTGTAGTGCTTTATCTTTGTGCTTTGCACATTTCAACATAGTCATTTCACTGGTTACCACCCCTGAAGCGTTTTGACACAGGAAATTTGCAAACACAATCTTTTAAAAACATTCAGCAAGATAAAAATAAAGGATTCAGTGGCATTCACTGGAGAATTGTAAATATAAAGTAACTTGTCCCGGTGCATTGCCAGGTCTCTGCAATCCCCCACACCCCAACACATGAAGGATAAATCACATCAACACTGAATTTAAAGCAGCAAAGCTGTGCTTCGGCACAAAAATGGGTTCTGCGCACAGTAGAAAGAAAAATGTCTGAATTTACAAGAATTAAACTTGATAAAATTTTGATCTTTGTATTGGAATGTTTCCATGGGATTAGTTTAGCGATGCTTTCAATATTTATTGTTTTCCTACCACGTGTCCAACTAGGATCAACCTATCTGTTAGGGCTTTGGCTACAGAGTTAACAGGAGCCGAGTGGGTTGACTCCCTGTCCCCAGTGGCTGGTCTGCCCTTCCAAGTCCTGCCGATGTGCCAGCCTGGCTGCGCTGTCATCAGCAGTGCTCTGGAGCAAAACTCTGCTAAAAGCAAAATAAAGATACATAAGACTCACCTTCGAGTTTGAGGTGGATTCCAAGAAGCAGAGTCGGCTGCCAAATCCTTCCCCAGCAAGGCAGAGTTTGAGCTGCTCTTTATGAAAAGTGGCACTGCACTGCAGCACAACCTCATCATCCTACAGGGAGATGAAAAATGTACATTACTTGGAGTTATCCAGTCAACAGATAAACAGTTTATATTTTCAGTCAATTATAAGTCTTAGGAATTAATAATATTAATCCTTGCATTTGATATAGTGCTTTATCACGTCTTTGAGACATCTCAAAGCGCTTCACAGAATATACTATAAAGTGAATTGACTGTATATTGTGTGGACGAAACACGGCAGCCAATCGCAGACAGCAGAGTCCCACAAACAGTCGTGGATTGAGCAACTAAATTATTTTTATTTATTTTGAAGAAGTTATTATCCCCGGAAGAGGACTCCACTGTAACTGGAATATTGATGTATTATAAGGACATTAACCACATACATATATTCACATACCAGCACATGAGAACAACTTTGCATAAGAATCAACAACTCTGAGCCAACAAACGACAGAACAACTGAGCTAAGTATCATAAGCAAATTCAATAGGTTGCCTCTATCTGTTGTACTGGTTAGATGACAGAAATCAAGAGCCCAGCAAGCTCCATATAATAAAATAATAATCCTTGCATTTGAAATAGTGCCTTATCAGTTATCACATTATCGAGACAGCTCAAAGTACTTCACAGGTTACACTCTAGTGTGAATTGATTGTAATTTGTGGCCAAAACACAGCAATCAATTTGCGCACAGCAGTGTCCCACAAATAGCCACAGAGTGAGTAACCAATTTTATTTGTGGGGATTGGTTGGCCAGGACACCTGGAGAAACTTCTCTTTTCGAATAATGCCATGGAATCTTTAACATCCACCTGAACAGGCAGACGGGATCTTGGTTTAATATCTCATCTGAAGAATACCACCTCCAGCAATGCAACCTCCCACCAAGTACTGCACTTGGAGTGTCAGTTTAGATGATTCCAAGACCTGATGCGGAGCTTGAACCCAAAAGCTTCTGACTCAGAGGTGAGAGTGCTATCATTGAGCCAGGCTGACATAATAATCCTTGCATTTGGAATAGCTCCTTTCACATATGTCAGGAAGACATCTCAAAGCATTTGACATTGCTTGGATGGGCACCCGAGCTGGGGGTAGGTGCCAAGGGGAAAGATGATTGAAAGCACAGTCACAGAGGTAAGTCTTGGACAGACCTTGAACAAGATGTGGGAGGGAGGAAGTCAGAAGGACTCCAGCATGAAGTTCCAGAGAGCAGGGCTAGAATGGCTGAAACCTTGCCCACCTTAGGTGGGCTGGATCGGGCAGTGACATGAAGCAGGATGATGCTTGCTGAGCGAAGTTAGCAACCAGTTCAAGGTTACATCGAGTAAGATAGAGCAGATCAAATCCTGGTACAGTAGTTGCTTCTCCTTCCATTCCCTAACTTATTATATTCTTACTTCTCAACACAGGTTTGAAGAGAATACATCACAAGTAACTCTCTGCTCTGGACAATGACCACATTGTTGTGGTTGACCAAGTCTCTGATAAAGTATTGGTTCAGGCCACTCAGGAACAACCTGGCTACCCCGAAAACAAACTTGCACCAACGGTTTTAACAACAAACAGAAAAGTTGGTTTTATTTTAATAAGCAAGCTATTACTTCTTACAGCCATCTTCTACGAAGCTCTCCCACCTTCCTCTAGCATCCAGCTATATACAGGTGGTGATTTATTAGCAATTAGGGCTCGAACTTCAAATAACCCTGAATGGTGCCCTTTTTAGCTACTTTGGTTGAGACACCTTTTTTTTAAATAAGTCAAAAAGATAACACACTCCTTTTCACATAGGTGGAGCACCTATATCCATAGAAAACAGGGACACGGTTTATCTACCCTGTCACAACACAATTTCTCTTAAAATAAACTAATAAAAGTTCAGTTTGGGGGTGATGTCAAATACCAGAAGAAGCTGTTGAATTTTTTCTAAGTAAATAGATACTACATGGCACCATCCAACCATGTTCAACAAGATGTACATACACAACACTATAGGATTCCACTGATAATATGCCACAGTTGTTGCCGTAATCTGGACATCACAGATTACTGCAGCTGGAAAAGCAGAACCTGAATGTTTATTGCATGGATGTAACTAATATACCGGTGTAAGGTACATTCTCCCTGGTGTATCTCCATCCTGCAGTTCTTTCGCCTCACCCCTTCCCTTGCCTCCTTCAAGCCTGTCTCAAGACTCTCCACTTCGACCGTCTCAATAGTCACCCTCCTCTCCCCATCCCTGCCGCTCTCCACCCTCCCCAATCCTGACTCCCAGCTTGGGTCCGAAACACTGATTGTCCAGCGCCTCGGGACGTCTTCCCAATGTGAAAGGTGCTACACAAATGTAATTTTGTTGTTGTTGTTGTATCACTTGCTGGAGGGAGCTTGCAAGCGCACGCATGCACAGAACTGCCATTCTACTGCTTTAATTTGCCATATCCCAATGCTCTAAAGAGCAGTATCAATTCCACCACATGTCTCCAGGTCTTTGCTCGCTTGCAGCATGTTCTTTACCTGTTAATTTTAAAGGTGTAATAGGTGTATAACAACAACAACAAGATTACATTTGTATAGCGCCTTTCACGTCGGGAGGACGTCCCAAGGCGCTGGAGAGTGACAGCATTTCAACCCGAGCTGGGGTCAGTGGGGGGAGAAGCAAAGGGAGGGGAAGCGGGGTGGCTGTTGGTATGGTCGAAGAGGAGGGTCTTGAGGCGGGACTTGAAGGAGGCTAAGGAGGGGGCGAGGCAGAGTTATTGAGGGATGGAATTCCAGAAGTTGGGGGCAGAGAGGTTGAAGGCTCTCCCGCAAATGGTTGGGCGGGTGGGTTGGGGGATGTGGAGCAGGCCAGAGCCGGCTGAAGGGAGGGAACGGGCGGGTTGGTAGGGGATTAGGAGGTCGCAGAGGTAGGGTGGGGCAAGACCATGGAAAGTTTTGTAGGTGAGGACCAGGATCTTGAACTGGATCCTCTGAAGGATAGAGAGCCAATGGAGTCCCCTCCTCTTTGGCCCTCTCCTCAGTGTACCGACTGATGTTGGAGAGGAATTTTCAAAAAGTTAGTGACTTGCACATTTGTCCCCGATTTGAAAGTCGAATGGGTTTCAGTTGCACATCCAGAATTATGAGCTACGTCCAAATGCATTCAGCACATACCCGGAGGCATTTTTTCACATTTGTCACAACTCCTTTCAGTGATTCCCTGTCTCTATTTGCCATTTGTCATCTGGTCATATATGTTAAGTTTCCTTTTAAATACACTGCTGCTTTTTGCTTCAATTACAACTTCCTCATGCATGAAGACGTTCTTCCTAAACTCCCCATTAGATCTACTGCTGGCTATGTTATACTAAGTTATGACCTCTTGTTTTTTCTACAAGTTGAAACAGGCTTTCACAAGTCTACCTTATTAAATCCTCTTTCATAATCTTGAAGACCTCTATCAGGTCCCCTCTCAATTGTATGAGCTCCAGAGAGAAAAGGTATCCAACCTATCCAATCTTTCCAAGCAATGAGCAAGCAATTTTGAGGATTATTTTCTAGTAGTGGAATGCTGACCACAAATGGGTACACTGTAATCTGTGGAAGGAGTTGAATTAATGGACTGAATAGCCTTTTCTATAGGCGTGTTTTATATCCTTAACTGTACACAGAGGATACAGTTCAAGATCCTGGTCCTCATCTTCAAAGCTTCCAAGGTCTTGCTTCCCCCTACCTCTGCAACCCTCTACCATCCTGCTCATTCCCTCACTCAGCAAGCTCCGGCCTGCTTCACGGCCCCTGCCTCGCTCACCCCACTATTGGAGGCGGGCCTTCTGCCACTCTGCCCCCACCCTCTGGAACTCCATCCCGCAGTCCTTCTGCCTCGCCCCCTCCCTTGCCTCTTCAAGACCCATCCCAAGACCCTCCTCTTCGACCATGCTTTGATCTCCCTGCTTCCACCCCTGCCTTCCACACTCCCCGACCCCAGCTCAGGTCCGAAACTCTGTCTGTCCAGTGCCTTGGAATGTCCTCTCGACATGAAAGGCGCTATACAAATGTAATTTTGTTGTTGTTGTTAACTAAGGGAACATAAAACATTGTAAATTTTGGTAATGTTTACCCATTCTGTGCCCATCTTTTTCAAGCCCAAGAATCACTCAGTATTGCTTGTTGACTGCCGAACCCGAATGATGTCAGGTCACGGAGAGAAACCAATCTTCACAACACCAGGCTTTTATTGGCTTCTACAGTCAATCCATTAGAGGCAGCAAAAAAAAAAGAAACAGCTAGTATTATTTATTTAAGGTATTTTTACTAGCTTGGAAAGAATAAATTACAGCATGGGCATTTGCATAAAATAACCAAATTTATTTTCCGTGCATTTGTATGAGATTTATTGTATTTGGTAATACATTAATATTTGGTTTACGCTGCAACAATTTTCCATTTATATAATACCTTTCACATCAGGAGGACGTCTCAAAGCACTGCACAGAATTGGCTGTGAGAATAAGCTGGGGTGTGGGGAAGAGGCGACCAAAAGAAAAATCCTAAGGTGACTCTAAAGGTGTAGTCTCCGGAATTAATATTATATTGAATTTTATTGATTCTTTATATTCAATATTTGAGGATGTCTCCTGTCAGAATGTCATTATTATTTACTGGATATTTGAATTATCGTTTCTGTAATTACAATATTGGGTATCGTAATTAATCCCTGAAACATTCCGCCTGAATTTTCTGAAATAAAAACAGAACACTCAGTGGGTCAGGCAGCATCCATGGAGAGAGGAAGGTGAGTTAAAGTTTCAGATCTATGACCTTTTCTTCTCTTTTTATTTCAGATTTCCAGCATCTGCAGTATTTTGCCTTTTGCCTTAATTTTTCTATTTCAGTGAGTCTACATTTTCCCACAGATTCTTAACAAAAATGAAAAATCCGCACTTTGTCACATCACAAAGTACAAAAAAGATTTATTGTAGCTAAACTAGCCCCACTCTCCATGTAGGGAACCACACTGCTCTATACTAGACCAGAATTTCCAATCCAAGC